TGAACAGGTTCTTATCGCCGACTTTTCGCAGCCTGCCTCAGTCCACCAACAGCCTGAGGAGCCCTTAGTAACCGGGGCGATGATCGAGCCGACGTAATGTTCGATGATGGCAATACCGTGAGTGGCAGGTTGTTAAGTTTTACGGAGACTTCTCTACGGTCTCCAGCGCTCATCCTTTGTGATCCGGGTTTACGACTGGCAGTAGTGGAGCTGTTAACGTTTCTTTCTTGCCAGTTTCTTGTCATTACTTTGGATTATTCATAGGTTTCCTTTCGTTCATATCCCCTAATTGTCTTAGCTGCCTTAAAAGTTCATTGCAGCAATTTTAATAGCAGAACTCTAGTCTTTCATTCTTGAATGCATTTCAAAAGTTCAGAAGCTTTTTGAGTAATGACATTGAGCAAGTGTGGTCTGAATCATCGAGAATTTTGTAGGTAAGCGTGTATTTTGCGGTGTCATCTCGTTGCAAATTTCTGTAATTTGCAGTTAATTTTCTGATCACAAAAGTCTATTGCCTGAGCTAAAAATCCTGGAGGTAAATCAATCGAAGGAAACACATCAAACTCGGTTGACGGAGGAAAGCTTTTGACGGATTCGAGATTTGTTTAGAATCTATATGCTGCCTGCTAGAGGTTGATGATGGCTAAAATAATTTGATGTCTTTCGAGTGTAATAACCTGAAGCTGGCATCTGTTTTGGTCATGGATAAACTGTTTCTGACACATACTGGCAGTTGTGTCCCTCGGTTTTGTTGTTTTTACTATTGTAGAAAATGTTTTCAGCAGCGCACCTTCGAGCATATGTTTTCACTTGGCGATCAATTTGCGGGCAAACCGAATCAGTCAAGCTCTGGCACAGACGCGGTAAATTGATTTCGGGAAAAAGTATGCGGTTAGTCATGGTGGTCGTGATGACCGACTCAAATGAGTCGCAGTTGGTCATCGTGGTGATGACCATTTTCGTCGTTTGTTTGCACGTACTGTTTGCTGAAGCGTGAGTTATTACGGAGGATCGGTGGCTGTTGCGTCTCGCTAAAGCGTTCATTTGTAACGTCGTAACATCTTGCTGAGGAGCGGTCGCTGTTGGCCATATATCACAGAAACAGTGCATCGATTTCCGATAACTGGTGTTTCTCACTATGGCCGCGACGGCTCTTTTATCACTTAAATGGACCGCGAAAAAATTCCATTTTTTCAGCAGTACAGTAAAAGTATAAAAATAGTTTAATTTTTAAGAGAAAGGTACAGCGGATAAACTAAATTGCAAATTTAACCGCATCTGATATCATAATTATTATCATACAACAGACTTTCCCAAAGGGAACGCAGATTGTTTCTTTGCCCTGATTATAGCAGTTCTGCGCGAAATCTTTTCAGTCTATCGTTCAGAAAACTGTCTACGATGCCGAAATTCTTTAATCTTATGTTGGTGTCGTCTTCAGTAACAAATGTCGTATTCTATGTTTTACATTCGTACTCTGGTGATGACAGTGCGTGGTGTTGAAACGCGTTGAAATAAAATGACTTTCACAGCGTTCACAATTTTGTATTTGCTGTGAGCCTGAATCAAATAGTCCGGGCATAGAGCGCAGCAATTTTTCTTTCTTCTCTCCCTATCGCTTCATGAAGAGATGGGTCGATGTACAGCAAACCGTTGTCAACCATTGCATGCCTTTATTCCAGGTGTTTTTCCACCTCTCCATCGCTTCTCGTTTCATCAGTAATTTTTTTGTCATCCTGATCTTCCATCTTCTCTTTCGACATGTGTTGCCCCGCTCGTATCGCATAACTCATCCAAAAACCGATCTCGCACAGATTTTGAAGTTTATGGAATGGCTTTGTTTATGATTATTTTGCTTTGTTATTCCCAGAAAGTCATACTGCATTGGTCGGCGTTCCTTTCTTCCGCCATGTCGCTTCCCGGTCGAGTCTTTATGAATTCTATCTGTGCCACAGACGGAATGGAGCATGTTTTCGCAGATCAGTGACAACAGTGCTGTGCGGCAAGTTAAAATCTGTATAAGTAGTTGTCTGATTTAGCTCATCCTGTTGCTTATCAAGGGAATCTCGTGAACAGATTACGAGACTTTAGTAAAATTTGACTTTTTGTGATTTTTAGGATATCATTCTGATGATTATCTGAGGTCTTTGAGATAAATTATTGTGTGGATTTGCCCCGTAGAAGCTAAGTTGCAGCAAAAAACCCAGACAAGCAAAAATGGAAATTTCTTTGTCATTAAATTAAACCTGTGAAAGTGTTTCCTCCTTTATTTGACTTGCCGTCGTTTTGAGCGCGACACGAATACTAATCGATCTTCCTACAGTCTTCTCTCTTATTGAGCGTTTTCTGGCGACTGGTTGTTTGACAGTCCAGAGTGCCATTCTGAGTACCATCCGTCGTAAACTATCGCCGGCGTATTCAACCGTAATTCAGCCCAGCGGATTCAGAAAGGTTAC